CAACTTCCTGGGATCGTTGTGTGAGTTAAATGGGATGATATACAGACAGGACCTGAGCCACCGCAGATGCTCCGTAGTGTCAGTCCTCACCCTTCCAGCAAAGGGAATGCACAAACCCACTGCGAATGGCGAATCCATAGTGATCTGAACCCACTGTGATGATGTTCGTTCTCTCGTGCTGATCATGCTATCAGGGCATAGTTATAGGTCTGAGCAATTAAACAGGGGAAATAAATTATTTAAGGCAGTTTGGTAAGAAAGATTATTTCAAAGCTTATTTTAGGGGGCAGGGGCATAACCAAGGGCAAACGGTCTCATGAAAAAGTTGAAGCCCAGGGTTGTGGCACCACTTGCCAAGGTCACATGGTAAGTTAGAGGCAACGCCAGGACCTAAACCTGGGGCCCCGCAGTGAGGCCATTTCTCTCTCCACTGAATTGCCCCAGTAGAAGCCAAGGGGGCAGGGAGCGGGAACAGGGGGCCGAACTTGGCAGTGGCCAGCCCCTCTGGCACCCAGTTCCTTCCTGTCCCTGTCCTTTGGCTTTTAAAACAGCTCCCAGGCATCTGGCTTCCATCTCAGAGGTCCACCTGGGCTTCTCAGCAGGGACTGTCCAGGAAATCCCTTCTGTGTGAGGCAGGTGTGGGTGTGGAAAGGCTAGTTGGAGATGAGTCAGCGTTGCCTCCTCCCCTGTGAGTCAGGAGCAGGGCCTGGGAGGGCTGGCCAACTGGAGGGAGGACACCAAGGGTGTGGGGTGGGGGGAGAGACAGCGGAGACCAGCGCTGCTGCAATGACGCATCTCAACCACCAGGGGGCAGGAACCAGACGGCAAAACCCAGCAGGCTGCCGGTGGAAAACTTGCGACACCTGGCGACGGAATGTGAGGATCCAACTTCCTCAGGCTGGGCATGGGTACAGCCACTGCCCTGGATGTCCTTCTGCCTGCTTGTGTCCCGACTTCCCTGCCTTTGTAGAGAACCGGAAACTGTCAGAGAGGGACCGGACTCCAGGGGTTGTCCCATCCCACTTTCCTGAGCTGCCCTGGGGAGGGTGTTGCCCAGGGTCACACAGCAAGTTAGTGGCAAATCAATCTGATTATCACCGGTCTCAGGAACATGGCCATTTGATGGGCACAGTCCTGGCCTCAGTTCTGGGTTACGGATAGGCCTCCAGGTGCTGCCCCTGGAAATCCTGTCTCCCTACCCCCTCTCTCTCCTGTTCCTTTCCGCCTCACATTCCCTCTGTTCCTTCCGTGGGTCCTTGCCCTCTCTGTCCTCCCCGACTTTTCCACCCGGCAGCCTCTGTCCCTCCTGTCTGCCTCAGGCCTCCACCCTGCCCACTGAGGAGCCTTCTCAGCTCCCCCACCGGGCCCCGGAGCAGGATGCTTTGCGCAGGCACTCCTGGGGATTTGTAGCTCTCTGAAGGCTGTTTTCCAAACCGGCGTCTCAGTTCCACTCCTGGGATCCAGGGAGACATCATTATTTGGTAGCACAATCAGTGATGTGATTTCAGGCGGTGAGAAGGACCCCCTGGCTCAAGCATGCTCTCCCGTGGTCCCCGCTGCCATTCCGTAGCCATAAACACCAGCTGGCATCTGGTGTGGGCAGACCCTCAGCTCCCGCAGAAAGGAGTAAGACTCAGTGCCTGCCCCATGAGCTCACCACGTGGGGTCGAGGGCGAGAGACAGCAGGTACACAAGTTGTTCAGTCAAAACCGGATGCTCTAAGTACTGGAGAGAAGGACAAAAGCAGTGCTTTGTATTGCACAGATAGAGACTGAATCTGGTTGGGTCTTGGAAGGTGCCATGAGGTAGGTGGCATCTGACTGGCCTTTGAAGGACAGGCGAGATTTCACCAGAAGGAGACGTGGTGTGGGTGTGCCGGCATGCTCAAGGCGATCGGGGCGTGTGCAGCGTGCCTGGAAAGCAGGGGGTGGACGAGCCTGGAGCACCTCACTGCTGGGCTTTGTGGAAGAGCCTGGGGAGGCCCCGCAGTTTCCGAGCAGCGAGGGCCCTGCTGAGGCCCTGGGCTAAAATCCAGACCTGCAGCAAAAAGCGGTGCACTGTACCCCATTGCACCTCACCCTCCGCGTGAAGGGTTTTCATTCCCAGTTCCACGTAAAGTAGGTTTTGATGACAAGTGGCGTGAGGGGTTCAAGTGCCTAGGGGAGCAGGGGACACTGGGTGGCTATGCCAAGGTGTAGAAGAGGACACCGGGAGCTCCATGGCCTGACTTCATCTACGCTGCTCAGGCTGGCCCTGGAGTCCCACGGTGACCCACGGAGAGACCAGCCTGTTGTCAGCGTCCGACCCTGTCAGTTCTCAGTGTGATCTTCCTGGGTGTCATAATCGGAAGGTCCCCCTGGTAGGCCCAGGGAAGGGTCTCCAAGCCCGTGCCCTCCCCTCCAGGCTGGCTGGGGTTTCCGCCTGCTGCTGCCCTGGCCCTGAGGGAGGAGGGTGGTGCCGCTGAGTCACCGCCTGGGCATCTGGGCCAGGAGCCACGGGTGAGTCACCTAGGCCTGGCGGAGGGGGCTTGGTGGGGGGAAAGAAGCTGCCTGACATCTGGAGGGTGGGGCAGCTGCGCCCACAGGAAGGGCGGTGCCCAGACTGGGGTTGGGATAGACAAAGGGCCAAGGAGAAGGGGGCCCTAGGAGGGGGCAACCCTCCCCTGGGCTGGGCTGTGAATGGCCACGGTGTTTGCCCTTCCCTGGGTCTGGGGAAGGGCACGTGTGTGGGGGGCAGTGTGGAGGAGGGCCTGGCCTCCAGGCTTGGGAAGCTGTCCAGCTCCATATTTCAGCCCTGAACTCCCCTACCCACCCACCCACTCCTCTAGCTGGAGAAGAAGCAGCCAAAGTTTACCTGTTCACCCTTAATACTTCCCACAGACTCTTGCTCACCCTGTCTGCAGAGCAACCCCACTTCTTGCAGCCTCCCTGTCCTTCCAGACCCCTCCCCGCACAAAGGGGCCTTTCATGGCATGTCTGTGCACACCCAGTTACCTCATTACCTCATTAAGAAGTGTTCCGGTGCTGGTCATTAGTAGCAGCTTCATTCCCCCACCCCCTGAGGTCAGCCCTGCCCTCCTTCTGCTGCCCCCAGCTACCTTCTCGGGCCGCAGCTTTCTAAGGTGGCCCCAGACTGCTTCTCTCTCTCACACACACATACACAAACACACATGCACAAGGACACACATGCACGGACATACACACAGTCCCATGCATATACATCAGCGCAGGGCTGTGAAGCCCCAGCATGCGCCCGAAGCCTCTGACATAGCAGTGGGCTGTGACTCACAGGCGCATCATGAGAACAGGGCTGGCATGAGTCTCCAGGCCCCAGAACAGGGGCTGTCTCCCCTCACCCCTGGCCTAGGCTGCCCTGTCCCCATGATACTTCCCACTTCCCTGCTGTGGCCTGGGTGGGCTCCAGGGCTGCCCTTGGCGGGGCCTAGAGCCGTCCTCCAGCTGGCGGTGGAGCTGGCAGTCTCTGGGAGAGAGGGTGCTGGGCGGAAGTGGTTGAGGGTGGCAGGAGGCCAGGCTTTGGCGGGATCAGGTTAAGGCAGGTTTGGTTTCTCAAAATGCAAAGTAGGGGGACAGTGGGGCTGGTGTATAAATCCCCGCACTGGGTGCCTGGCCACTTTGTTCTCCTTCCTGGGTCTCTCTCCGCCACCGCCACCGGTCTGGTGAGTGCCCCTGTCCTGCTGAGGCGGGTGGGCAGGGGCTCTGCCTTTGACCGCTGCCTTGATCTTTGTCTCGGCAGTTTTCTCATTCTGGCTTTCTTGGGCTGATCAGCCTGGGGATCCCCTGGGTCCTTCCCATCTGGGGGATCCTCTGTGAAGTGTCAGATTATTGAGGGGTCTTTTTTCGGGTTCCTCAGTGAGATCTCAGCCCAGGGGTTACTCTGAGGCCCTCTGTTGGATCTCTCAGTCTGGGGGATCCTTCTTTGGGGGGCTAGGCCTAGGAGTAGGAGGTGTATATGTAGGAGGTGCTATAACAAGAGTCCTGACTTCTTGTTTTTTGCAATATCTTGGATTCTAGCAGGACTAAGGGGCAAGAGGCAGGGGTCTCGAGTGCACGGCCGGCCTGGGTTGTGGCCCTGAGTAGCAGCAGAGCTCTGCCTCGGGAAGGCGGGGCGGCAGAACGGGCCCAGGGCTTTCCCTGCCTCCGGCATCAGTTCCTCTGGCCTCGCCCTGACACCTGCCTAACCTTCCAGGCTGGTCTGAGCATTCTCAGAGGCAAGGCCTTGGAGAAGATGACCTCTGAGGTCCGTCCCACCCTGATCCCAAGGCACTGGACATTTAATTTCTTTAATTCTAATCACAACAGGATCCTTCCTAGTGGGGAGGATGTTCAGTCCCCCCCAGCCAGCCCATGCCCTGTCTGCATGGAGAGAGCACCCCATGACTCAGGGGCCTCCAGTGCCAGGGGAGACATTCCCCACCCTGAGAGCCCTATCTGAGGGAGGAAACGTCCTTGCCCAAGGGAGCTTGCAGTTAGACGGCACAGAGAGCTTCGAGAGCCCTGAGTCTGAGGAGGGAAATGAGTCTCTCAGGGAGGTGCTGCTACTAGGCTGTGGCCGTGGCCACTGCCAGGCGGTGCGGTGGAGCCCTGCTAGCTAGCCCGGTGTGTGCCCATGCTGCCAGTGCTTGGCACAGATGGGTCAAAATGGGATTCTGGTCACCCTGTCGTTTCCCTTCCCACAGATACTCAAAGAGGGGGGCCCTACCTTCAGGGGTGTGTCCCTCGTGATTGGAGGAGACACGAGGCCCTACCCTTGGTGACTGCAGACACAGGGCAGGGTTTAGCATCTGCCTGCGGTGGGAGGCAGAGGCACGGCCCCTGCCCTTGGGGAGCCACAGTCCGAGGGGGAGCTGCAGCCCCTGCCTTCCCATCCAGAGAGGGCTGGCGAGGTAGTTCGGGGCACAGGCAGAAGCGGGTCCTGCAGGCTGGGCTGAGGCCCCAGGAGCCTTGGTGGTGTCTCCATTACCTGCCACCTCTGGACCCCAGATCCAAGATGTCCAGTTCCCTGGAGCAGGCACTGGCTGTGATGGTTGCCACCTTCCACAAGTACTCCTGCCAAGAGGGCGACAAGTTCAAGCTGAGTAAGGGGGAGATGAAGGAACTTCTGCACAAGGAGCTGCCCAGCTTCGTGGGGGTGAGTGGCAGGCCTGGCGGGGGCAGGTCCTGGCGTGAGTGCGGCAGTGCAGGTCACATCTCTCCCTCCCCAGTCCTGGGGGCAGGGGTGGGGCCAGCCCCTCCTCCTCCCCCTCCACTTTTGCTTCGTGGCCTGCTGGAGTGGGAGTGAGGCCAGAGAACTGTGTGCTGTCAGGGACCTCAGTCTGTCCGTCTAATCCCCTCACTGGAGAGTCGAGCAGCCCAGAGCCCAGAAAGGGGAAGTGATTGGCCAAGATCACACAGTGTGCGTGCTCTCTTTCTCTCTGACTTTCCGTATTTACACGCCAAACTAAGGAGGTGTGTAGGGAGAGGAAAGCCCAGCTGAGACATGCACCCTGGGACATTCTGCGGAGAAATGCAGTCGACCCTGAATTTGCCCCTTTGTTTTTGTTTTCGGTTAAACTTTTCTAATCATTTTGGTTGGAATTAAAAAGTGCTGGCCTTTTCTGAATTCACCCTCTAGTGAAGGGGAGCAGCAAGCTTCAGTTTCCTCATCAGCAAAACGGGGTAGTGGTACCTACCTCGCGGGGCTCCTGAGGGATTAGAGCTCATGCATGCTTAGAGGAACACCCAGCATCCTCCGCGTGCTCAGCGGGCGGGCTGCAGACTCACTGACGAGTGTCCATCTCTCCTTACTGGACCCTCTTAGCAGCTCCCAGAGCTGCCCGCCCACCACATGCCCCACTGCCGGTGGGGAGGGAGAGCTGGCACTGGCCTGTGAGTTTGCAAGGGAGTTGGGCTTGGGGGCTGGCTTGGCGTTGACCCTATTCCCTCTTGCTTTCAGGAGAAGGTGGATGAGGAGGGGCTGAAGAAGCTGATGGGCAACCTCGACGAGAACAGTGACGAGCAGGTGGACTTCCAGGAGTACGCTGTGTTTCTGGCTCTTGTCACTATCATGTGCAATGACTTCTTCCAGGGCTGCCCAGACCGACCCTGAAGCAGAGCCCTTGACTCCCTGCCGTGATGGAGTTCTTGGGCCCGGGACTCTCATTCCCTTTTGGTTTTGTACTCAATAAAATCTTTTGTTTGTTGATAATATTTTCATTGCTCAGTGATGCCCCACAACCCGGCTGGCTCAGTTGGAGTGCTGACAACTGAGGGCCTCCTGGATCCTATTCCC